GCTCAGTCCCACTGTTATTCATGACTAAATCAGGAAGTGATAATGAGGGGAGGAGACAATACCCCAATGCTGGTGGTCTTCAGGATCAGTCCAGTCTTCATCTTGGTTGTTCTCCCCCCATCCTCACTCTCTGACCTCTGGTGGGGCTCGGCCCCGTTGTTCTTCATGACTAAATCATGGACTAAATAAGGAAGTGCAGAAATAAGGAAGAAGTACTTCTTGTGTTGGGAAGATGAGTGATAGAGGGGGTGGGGACCCTCGTCCTATAATCCCCTCCTCACTGTCCCTCCTATAAAAGACAGTTCTGGTTGTTTCCTCACTCTCTGACTAAGGTCCATGAATAAGGAAATGACCTGGTAGGAGATCAGAAGAGCCATTTCTTAGTTCCCTTGAGGGTGGAATTGTAAGCTCCTCAGAGACCAAGCTCTGACGGGCGCGGCGTTAGACCCCCAGCTCTTCTCACCAACTTGTGACCGAAGGACCAGCTGATCTCAGACCGCGCTGTCACGTGTGTAACAATGCCACGCTCAGCTGCACCCTGCACAAAGATTTTCCAGCTCACTGGACCACAATCTATGTACCTGCAGCCTGAGAGCGATTGTTACTGGGTCAGGTTAATTACGCAATTAACCCTTCACACTGCCACCAACACCGCCTTTTTGTACAGAGTAGGAGGAAACTCGGCAATATTAGCAGTAACACTATGATGTTGGAATAATTGTCTGTATACCACTGTCACCGCAGGCAGATGTATGCAGAAGTTTAAAACACACAGTAGCGCTCTTCAGAGACAGGGATTCTTAGTTTGCACTAAAGAGCTTTGGAAACAGTTCAATGCCTTTCAGAAAATAGGATTTATTACTAAAAAGGGTCAACATGGTGCAATAAAAATATTTACAGAAAAGATGTAACCAATATATACAGTGGGGATCGAAGGTTTGGGCACCCCAGCTAAAAATTTGTATTAATGTGCATAAAGAAGCCAAGGAAAGATGGAAAAATCTCCAAAAGGCATCAAATTACAGATTAGACATTCTTATAATATATCAACAAAAGTTAGATTTTATTTACATCATTTACACTTTCAAAATAACATAAAACAAAAAAATGGCATCTGCAAAAGTTTGGGCACCCTGCAGAATTTATAGCATGCACTGCCCCCTTTGCCAAGCTGAGACCTGCCAGTGTCATGGATTGTTCTCAATCATCGTCTGGGAAGACCAGGTGATGTCAATCTCAAAGGTTTTAAATGCCCAGACTCATCTGACCTTGCCCCAACAATCAGCACCATGGGTTCTTCTAAGCAGTTGTCTAGAAAACTGAAACTGAAAATAGTTGACGCTCACAAAGCTGGAGAAGGCTATAAGAAGATAGCAAAGCGTTTTCAGATGTCAATATCCTCTGTTCGGAATGTAATTAAGAAATGGCAGTCATCAGGAACAGTGGAAGTTAAAGCAAGATCTGGAAGACCAAGAAAAATATCAGACAGAACAGCTCGCAGGATTGTGAGAAAAACAATTCAAAACCCACGTTTGACTGCACGATCCCTCCAGAAAGATCTGGCAGACACTGGAGTTGTGGTACACTATTCCACTATAAAGAGATACTTGTACAAATATGGTCTTCATGGAAGAGTCATCAGAAGAAAACCTCTTCTACGTCCTCACCACAAAAATCATCGTTTGAACTTTGCAAACGAACATATAGACAAGCCTGATGCATTTTGGAAACAAGTTCTGTGGACCGATGAGGTTAAAATTGAACTTTTTGTCCGGAATGAGCAAAGGTACGTTTGGAGAAGAAGGGGCACAGAATTTAATGAAAAGAACCTCTGTCCAACTGTTAAGCATGGAGTTGAATCAATCATGCTTTGGGGTTGTGTTGCAGCCAGTGGCACAGGGAACATCTCACGAGTAGAAGGAAAAATGGATTCAATAAAATTTCAGCAAATTTTGGATGGTAACTTGATGCCATCTGTGAAAAAGCTGAAGTTAAAGAGAGGATGGCTTCTACAAATGGATAATGATCCTAAACACACCTCGAAATCCACGGGGGATTACATCAAGGGGCGTAAACTGAAGGTTTTGCCATGGCCTTCACAATCTCCTGACCTCAACATAATTGAAAATCTATGGATAGACCTTAACCATTAGCCGCCCGGCCAATAGCCGTTTGGCGGCTTGAAAAGCGCTGCAGCTTTCCGGGTCCACGCCATTTGGCGTGCTCCCGCACATGCGCCGTTTGCGCTATTGCAGAGCGGCGCAGCAGCGGGATCTGTCACCGCCCGTGCACCTCGGACACGGCCGATGACAGATCCGAGTACCGGCTCCCGTTGCCGGTACCATGTGACCTGCCGCGACCAATCACAGCAGGTCACATGACAGTTGTATACAATGGATGGCTTCATTCATGATGCCATCCATTGTATACTAGTGCCTAGCTGTGAATGGTCACAGCTAATCACATGCACATGTCATGTGATTAGCTGTGACCAAATCACAGCTAAGCACAAAAAAAAAAAAAAAAAAAAAAAAGCTGAATGAATCGATTTCATTCAGCTAAATGCTTGCTTATAGCAAAGTAATTCTTTGCTATAAGCAAATTGTGTAAAAAAAAAAAAAAAAAAAAAAATACTGATCACTTCCCCAAAGTAGTACAATGTTACTATGGTAACATTGTACTATTTTGGTCATAGTAAAATATGAAAAAAAATCTTAAAAAAAAATAAAAAAAATGTAATAAAAAAATTAAATATAATAAAAAAATAAAAAAAAATTAAAAAAAAATATAATTTTTTTTTTTTTTCATACTGTCACCAGTCAGTGTCCCTGTTCACCGCCATGCCAGTTATATGATGACGCTGTACTGCACTGGTGACAGTATGTAAAAAAAAAAATAGTGAAAATAATATTTTTCATTTTTTTCATTTTCGGAAAAATTATGACAAAAAAAATACAACTTCAAAAAACTCGCCATGCCTCTTATGAAGTACGTCGACTGTCTACTCAGCAAAAAGGGGTCATTTGGGGATATCTGTACTATTCTGACATTCTTGGACCTCAAGAAATTAGATTGGCTGTCAGTACTTCAGGATTGATCAATATTCAGATCTATACCATAGTTTGTGAACTCTATAACTTTCCTACAAACTAAATAATACATCCTAATTTGGGTTATTTTCACCAAAGACATGTAGCAGAATACATCTCGGCCTAAATTTATGAAGAACAATTATTTATTTGTAAACTTTTATAACAGAAACAAAGAAAAATGTGTTTTTTTTTCAAAATTTTTGGTCTTTTTTTGTTAATTTAGCAAAAAATAAAAACCCCAGCGGTGATTAAATACCACCAAAAGAAAGCTCTAGTTGTGTGAAGAAAATGATAAAATTTTAGTTTGGGTACAATGTTGTATGACTGCGCAATTGTCATTCAAAGTGTGAGAGCGCTGAAACCTGAAAAATGGCCTGGGCAGGAAGGTGTAAAATTGCACGGTATTGAAACGGTTAAAAGAGCAGTGCGTGACAGACAGCCCAGAAATCTCAAAGAACTGGAAGACTTTTGTAAGGAAAAATGGGCAAAGATACCTCAAACAAGAATTGAAAGACTCTTGGCTGGCTACAAAAAGCGTTTACAAGCTGTGATACTTGCCAAAGGGGGCAGTACAAGATATTAACTCTGCAGGGTGCCCAAACTTTTGCAGACGCCATTTTTTTGTTTTCTGTTATTTTGAAAGTGTAAATGATGGAAATAAAATCTAACTTTTGTTGACATATTATAAGAATGTCTAATCTGTAATTTGATGCCTTTTGGAGATTTTTCCATCTTTCCTTGGCTTCTTTATGCACATTAATACAAATTTTTAGCTGAGGTGCCCAAACTTTCGATTGTATATATAAATACAGAGAGTAATAACACAACAGAGAAATAACAGAAAGAAGTTTAGGGAGGTAGAGTACTTGCCAGAGTCCTTGTTTAAGCAGATCAAGTGTCCTGAACAAAAGGGTTGCCTTTTCTTCCAAGTTGGTTCCTGATGTTAAAAGGGAGAATCTCTTCATCTTCTTCTCCCAGGCCTGACAGCCTATTTTCTAGTTCCCCAGCAGGGGGGGTTGTCTCTGAAGCCAAGGGCCAATTGCCTCATTTGGGGAGGGGGTTTTAGGTGGAGACCCAAGCTAGGACCAAAATCCCTCCCAAGTTATACCAGGGTCAATAACCTTCCATAGGTACATGTAGCATCCTATCCACTGGCAGGATAATATGCAGAACGATATTCTGAATGTCCAGACATCAGATATGACATATCTGCCTGTGACGGTTAAAGAGATATCGCTTTCTGCTCTCGGGTAGACGTAATCTAGGGGTGTAAGGTATCAGGTGACTCGCATTAAACTGACCTGTCTGAATATATGCTTTGTTTTATTGTACATATTTCCTTCCAAAAGTTATGAAATTGTATGAAAAAGTGGTTTCACATGGGATGCAGGTTTTACTGCTATTCCGGAATGCTTTCAAGTCCAGTGACTGACGGGTTTATAGCTTTACAAGCAGCTCAGAGCAAGAGTCGGACAGACACCATGGGGCAAGCTAATTGGGTTTACAACCATGAAGGGTATCCAGCTGTGCATTCCTGAACTCCACACACATGGACCACATGCCATTCAACAAAAAGGGAGAGGGGCTGATTTGGAGTGAAAATGACACAAGATGGAGGATCTGTAGCAATTGTACATACAATTGCTACACAAGCTGCCTGGTGTGGGAGGAATCCTGGTTTGGGGGAAACAATCAGCTCCTGTCTAGTAATCCTCTTTGTATTTCAGTCCATGGCCGGGAGATGAGGAAAACCTCCGAGGATTGTCTCACTGAAAATCCAGCTCTCTCCAATGTCCATCCAGCACCACACAGTGTAGATGGACCATCGGATTCCTCGTATCCTGAGGAACCTCAGACTGTGCGGGACCGGGCCGGCCTTTCAACAGAGAAGAGCTTCTCCTGTACTGAGTGCGAGAAATGTTTCTATTCTAAATCCAAACTTAATGTGCATAAACGATCTCACAAAGGTGAGAAGCCACATTCCTGCCCTGAGTGCGGGAAATGTTTTTCAAGGAATTCTCAACTTTTCTTACATCAGAGATCTCACACGGGGGAGAAGCCATTTTCCTGCCCTGAGTGCTGGAAATGTTTTGCACAAAAATCACAACTTGTCAGACATCAGAGGTCTCACACGGGGGAAAAGCCATATTCCTGTCCTGATTGTGGGAAATGTTTTGTACAAAAATCATTACTTTCTGCACATCAGAGGTGTCACACGGGGGGAAAAACCGTATTTCTGTTCTGAGTGCGCGAAATGTTTTTCACATATGTCCAATCTTATCATACATCAAAGGTCTCACACGGGTGAGAAACCTTATTCCTGTTCTGAGTGCGGGAAATGTTATGTACATAAAGTAGATCTTGCCACGCATCTGAGGTCTCACACAGGGGAAAAGCCGTATTCCTGTCCTGAGTGTGGAAAATGCTTTTCAGATAAGTCTCATCTTTGCAGACATCGGGGATCTCACAGAGGTGAGAAGTCATTTTCCTGTTCTTTGTGCGGGAAATGTTTTTCACAGAAATCCAGTCTTCATAGACATCAGAGGTCTCACACAAGTGTAAAGCCATATTCCTGTCCTGAATGCGGGAAATGTTTTCCAGAAAAGTCCAATCTTTACAGACATCAGAGATCTCACATGGGGGGGAGAAACCATATTCCTGCTCTGAGTGTGGGAAAGGTTTTGTAGAAAAATCAGACCTCGTCACACATAAAAGGTCTCACACGGGGGAGAAGCCATTCTCCTGTCCTAAGTGCGGGAAATGTTTTTCAGGGAAGTCCAGTCTTTACAGACATCAGAGATCTCACACGGGTGAAAGGCCGCATTCCTGCCCTGAGTGCGGGAAATGTTTTTTACAAAAATCAGAACTTGTTACACATCAGAGGTCTCACACGGGGGAAAAGCCGTATTCCTGTCCTGAGTGTGGGAAATGCTTTTCAGATAAGTCACACCTTTCCAGACATCGGAGATTGCATGCTGGCGACAAGCCATATACTTGTTCTGAGTGCGGGAAATGTTTTTCCGTGAAGTCCAATCTTAACAGACATCGGAGATTGCACACGAGAGAGAAGCCGCACGCCTGTCCTGAGTGCGGGAAACGTTTTTCACATAAGTACCATCTTTACGCACATGAGAAACTGCACACAGGAGAGAAGCCACTTTCCTGTCCTGAGTGAGGAAAATGTTCTTCACTGAAGTCCTGTCTTCCCGGACATCAGGGGTCCCTCAAAACCCTGGAGGTGTATAAGTGCCTTGAGTGCAGAAAATGTCTTCTAGATGAATGTTGCTGGACATCCCAGCTCTCGTGGGGAAGAAGCACACCCTGATATACACCTCAGATATACTCCGTGGCTGATCTTCATTATGGAAGGAACAGTTCATCAGGAGGTCAGAGGTCACCAAAGACGTGGATGAAGTGTGGGACCGGCTTAGCCATTGATAGACCTAAGAGAATAAAAATGGCATCCTCACCTGTCATTGGCTGATGGTGTAGAGACTTGGAGGTCTAGTTTTTAATAAATACTTGCCCTTGCCCAGCCAGTTTCCATTTTAAGTCAATGGAAAACATTCGACCCGCACAGCAAATTGTTTAATAACATTCGTTTACCCCCCTTCATGCAGAAGTGCATGGGCACATTCACCAGGCGAACTGCTATGCAAATTTTTTAAGAAGAGACTCCCCCTCCCTTAAATGTTGGGAGACATTTATTTAAAGGTGGAATGTATGTAGCAGCCAAATGGACAGACCTCCTAGCAGTGTTATTACCAGGCTGCAGCTAGGGGGAGCTCTACTATTTAGAGTGTGACCACATTAACTCTTCACTGCCAGAGCTGTGTTTGCTTTTGTTTTTTTTTGCACACGTTAAAAAGCACATTTTGGGCCTAAGGATTAGTTAAAACCCCCAAACATATATTTTCTGAGGGCGGAGGCCCTGGAGAATAAAATGGTGGTCATTGTTAAGGTGTTCCAAATTGTACCTTTGTATCCGAGTTTATTTTCTGTGTTGTGATTTTATTCTACAATACTTTGTTATAATGGAACATGCTGTGTATTGTATACAAGTTACAGTGTTACCCCAGCCCCTGCATTCACTATATCCGCTCTCCCTGGACCCTGCATTCACTGTATCCGGTCACCCCGGACCCCGCATTCACTGTATCCGCTCTCCCCTGACCCCGCATTCACTATATCCGCTCTCCCTGGACCCGGCATTCACTATATCCGCTCTCCCCGGACCCGGCATTCACTATATCCGCTCTCCCTGGACCCTGCATTCACTGTATCCGGTCACCCCGGACCCCGCATTCACTGTATCCGCTCTCCCCTGACCCCGCATTCACTGTATCCGCTCTCCCCGGACCCGGCATTCACTATATCCGCTCTCCCCGTACCCCGCATTCACTGTATCCGGTCTCCCCGGAACCCGTATTCACTGTATCCGCTCTCCCCGGACCCGGCATTCACTATATCCGCTCTCCCCGGACCCGGCTTTCACTGTATCCGCTCTCCCCTGACCCCGCATTCACTGTATCCGCTCTCCCCGGACCCGGCATTCACTATATCCGCTCTCTCCGGGCCCGGCATTCACTATATCTGCTCTCCCTGGACCCCGCATTCACTGTATCCGGTCTCCCCTGACCCCGCATTCACTATATCTGCTCTCCCCGGACCCCGCATTCACTGTATCCGGTCTCCCCGGACCCCGCATTCACTGTATCCGGTCTCCCCCGACCCCGCATTCACTATATCCGCTCTACCCCCGACCCCGCATTCACTATATCCGCTCTACTACCCGACCCCGCATTCACTATATCCGCTCTCCCCGGACCCAGCATTCACTATATCCGCTCTCCCCGAACCCCGCATTCACTATATCCGCTCTCCGAACCCCGCATTCGCTATATCCGCTGTCCCCGGACCCCGCATTCACTATATCCGCTCTCCCCGGACCTCGCATTCACTATATCCGCTCTCCCCGGACCCAGCATTCACTATATCCACTCTCCCCGGACCCCACATTCACTATATCTGCTCTCCCCGGACCCCGCATTTGCTATATCCCATCTCCCACAGTACACAGAACATGGAAATGTAATTATTTTAGTAAATATAAACGGCTAAATCCTTTTCCCATCAGCAGTATATAGCAGTCTTGTGACTTCTATCAGTGTCCAGCAGAGCACTGGTTAAAGCTTGTAGGAGGAGTTTTCATTCTGCTCTAAGAGGATGCAGAACCCCTGACCTCTGTGTGGACAGCTCTCATTGCCCCTGCCATCTCTAGCCATGCACATTAAACTGAGCATGTGCAGAGTGACTCCTAGAGCTCTGCTCTATCAGCAGATGGATTGGTGACACTGGAAGAAGAGGAGGTTTAGAGAAGACAGGATCAAACCGCCTTTTCTACACAATGTGGAGGATTAACCCCTTAGTTTCCACAGTTAACAGTAACAGGAATGCTTTACTGTATCTACAGATTGATTTTACTCTTCTGGGGTTTGTAATACTTTAATAACTCCTCCAGACAATTGATTTTCCAGACCAATCAGATTTCTTCCTTTACTATTTCCTGATTTATTTTTTTACTGCAGTCTTGTTAGAAGTAAAAAAAAAATGTATTGAACAAAAAATAAAATTGTGTGTGCCGCTGCAATGAGGACAATCTTCCAGATCCGAACATTGTTCATGGGCGATGCTTTCAAAGCCTTCACAGCCTTGAGTAATGGCCAAGAGTACAGTGGTCAGGAGTGTGTCTTGTACAGACCACCATATCGAGTGCAGTGATGTGCATCTCCTTCCTGAACCATACCAGGCCACATACCCATAGTATGGGGGGGACCAACGTGCCAGGGGGAATCCCTCCGGGGCAAAGCACCTTGTCCCCTTGTTAATGAGAACAGGGAACTCCTCCCCACAAATCTGGCTGGTGGCTTTGGAGGTCTGTGGTGGAGTCTTTTTGGATTTTGGACCCCCTCCCCCTTTAATAATAAGGGGGCCCTCAGATACCACGCCCTACGTGAATGAGTATAGGGTACATAGTACTCAATAGTAACGCTAGCTGAGATATGTAATTGAAGGGGTGGGGATAGTGGTGACATCATCACCCAAATAGAACCAAGGGCCATGTAACGGAAGCGTAGGCAGGACAGAGCACATGGAGAAGATGGGGAACACACAAAGCTTTATTGAAGCAACAAAATGACACTCAATGGGGAATTGGCAGGGTGAGGGTGATGTGTGCACAAACCAGGGACGATTTCAGGCACGGGGAGTCTTCGGCGACAGGCAGGCAATCTCCCCCCTAGGCTTGGGGCCTCAGCCGAGCTCCCTCCATGACTGGACAGCGGATTGGAGACTCGGGCAACAGGCAGGCAACCTACCCCTGAGCAGGGGTCTCGGGCAACAGGCAGGCAATCTCCCCCCTGGGCTTGGGGCCTCAGCCGAGCTCCCTCCATGACTGGACAGCGGATTGGAGACTCGGGCAACAGGCGGCAACCTACCCCTGGGCAGGGGTCTCGAGCAACAGGTGGCAATTTACCCCTGGGCAGGGGTCTCGGGCAACAGGCGGCAATCTACCCCTGGGAAAGGGTCTCGAGCAACAGGCGGCAACCTACCACTGGGCAGGGACCTCGGGCAACAGGCGGCAATCTATCCCTGGGCAGGGGCCTCGGGCAACAGGCGGCAACCTACCACTGGGCAGGGGCCTCGGGCAACAGGCTGCAACCTACCACTGGGCAGGGACCTTGGGCAACAGGCGGCAATCTACCCCTGGGCAAAGGTCTCGAGCAACAGGCGGCAATCTACCACTGGGCAGGGGCCTCGGGCAACAGGCGGCAATCTACCCCTGGGCATGGGGTCTTGGGCAACAGGTGGCAACCTACCACTGGGCAGGGGTCTCGGGCAACAGGCAGCAATCTTCCCCTGGGCAGGGGTCTTGGGCAACAGGCGACAACCTACCACTGGGCAGGGGCCTCGGGCAACAGGCAGCAACCTACCCCTAGGCAGGGGTCTCGGGGACTCAATGGGACTCTAGCTGTGGAGTCCGACCTCAGCACAGCTCCCACCCAGCTTTCTAGGGACATTGGGTTCACGGGGACTCAATGGGTAGCGATGGCTCAAGCACTCGGGCACCACAGGTAGCTATACTCCGGGCACGCCATGGGGCGGTTCAAGTAAGGGTAGTCTAGGCGTGTAGTAGGGCAGTGCATAACCCAGTTTGGTCTGTGCGCACAACAGGGACAGTTCAGGACACGGGTGGTCAGTGCACACAGCGGGCAGTTCGGAACACGGGTGGTCGGTGCACACAGCGGGAAAAGTTCAGGACACGAGTGGTCGGGTGCACACACCAGGGACAGTTCAGAACACGGGTGGTCGGTGCACACAGCAGGCACAGTTCAGGACACGGGTGGTCGGTGCACACAGCGGGGACAGTTCAGAACATGGGTGGTCGGTGCACACAGCGGGGACAGTTCAGGACACAGGTGGTCAGTGCGCACAACAGGGACAGTTCAGGACACGGGTGGTCGGTGCACACAGCGGGGACAGTTCAAGACACTCACGGTAAGCAGCTTGCAGACCCTCAGCGGCAGGCGGCTCCAGACAGGGACGACCAGCGGTCAGCGTTCCAGGGACAAACCAGCGATCAGCAGACAGCAGCAGCTCCCCGGGCACTCAGCAGCGGATGGCTTCCAGGGACCTGTGGCCACGGACAGTGTGCAGGGTCCGTCAGCAGCAGCTCCCCGGGCACTCAGCAGCAGACAGCCTCCAGGGACACGCAGCCACAGACAGTGTGCAGGGTCCCTCAGCAGCAGCTCCCAGGGCACTCAGCAGCAGACAGCCTCCAGGGACACGCAGCCATGGATAGTGTGCAGGGTCCCTCAGCAGCAGCTCCCAGGGCACTCAGCAGCAGACAGGGTGCAAGGGTGCTCAGTAGACAGGTTTACAGACTTGCAGGGTCTCAGCTGTGGGGTCTTACCTTTGAGGAGAAGGCTCATGCAGAGCTGTGGAGACTCCCAAACCTGGGGTATTGCAGAGGGCTACAGTCCTGACCTTTTGGGGGTCTGCAGAGTGCGCAGGGGGGATGGCTGGGGAGGTTCGGTCACCCTCACCC